GAAGTGAGAGCTGGACCATAAAGAAGGCTGACCGCCAAAGAATTGATGTTTTTGAATTGTGGTGCTGGAGGAGACTCTTGAGAGCCCCCTGGACTGAAAAGAGAACAAACCTTTCAGTTCTGAAGGAAATCAACCCTGAGTGCTCACTGGAAGGACAGATCCTGAAGCTGAGGCTCCAATACTTTGGGCATCTCATGAGAAGAGAAGACTCCCTGGAAAAGACCCTGATGTTGGGAAAGTGTGAAGGCAGGAGGAGAAGGGGACGACAGAGGACGAGATGGCTGGACAGGGTCACCAAAGCTACCAACATGAAATTGACCCAACTCTGGGAGGCAGTGGAAGACAGGAGGTCCTGGTGTGCTCTGGTCCATGGGGTCACGAAGAGTCGGACATGGCTTAACGACTAAACAACAGCAATAAGTTGGAGTGACCTGATGGCACATAACAGCAATAACATGAGCTAAAATGGTAATACTATACATACATACAGTATGCAGCAGTAAACTTCACTGAGTTCAGTGTGTCTTACTTCCAGTCATCTCCAGCTCCTAAATGGAGTGCCTCAGCTCCGTGTTTTAGGGCAGCATCAACCCCGTGGCCCAGTCACAAGCCACTTGTGATCCCTGTTAAGTGAGTGCAGAAGTGTTTATTTTCACTGTGTTTGGAGAGGACACCACTTGGGCTCCAGATAGCACAGCTGAAGCTACCTGGAGGCTTTTCAGAGGTTGTCAAGGGTACTTTCTCTCCCCATCCCAGCTGTGGTGACCCTGTGTCCTGGACTTGGCAAGGAGGCCTCCTCCGCACCCTTCCATGTCATGCTAGAAGGCCATCTCCCGGCAATCACCACCTGTCAGGCAAGCAAATTCTGAGATACTCCCTTTATTTATGGGTTCAGTTGGATCTTTGGCCCATCACTAAAAGACTGCTATTATTTACAATGTGCTACAAACTGTGTCATCACAGCTGTGTATCTTGCATAAACACATGCACAACATATCTTCCAGTTCTGCCATTTGACTAGCAGTAGCTAGTCAATCATATTCCTCTTGGGTTCTTGATTTCTCTCTTGCCACCATGGATAAGCAGATTGTTGTTGCATTTTCTTCTTTCCTCCTGTTCTTAAAGCTGATTAGTGGCTGGTCTACCAATGGCTCTCCCCTGCCCAAAAGTCTCCCCAGATTGTTCAAATCACAGTGACTACATTTTTATAAAAGGGAACAACAGAGAAAATCTATAGAGCTTCTGACATGAGAGTGTGGCTACTCAAAAAGTGTAAGAGAGAATGATTGAGACACTGAGAAAGTGAGGGTCACAGAGCGACACTTGAGATGATTAGGAGCCACTAGTACTCCACAAACTTTGGAGAGGAGTGATCCAAATTCATGAAGTACATGAGATGTGTTTACTTTATAGATACAATGGTGTCACGGCTCAGATGGACCTGTTTGGAAACATTACCCTCTGATCTCAAAGCCCTTCACCATACCATGGAGTCCAGAGATGCAAATTTCACAGGACTGGTTAAACTAGTCTGGGGTTTCCCCTCACCTTCACATAAGCTCTCCAAGGGGCTGAATTTATTTTAGGGATATAGTTCAGCCCCATGGACTGCTTGAGTAATGTTCAGACTAAAACTAACGCCTGGAGGAGATTCACCAACTACATAACGTCAGAGTCACATGAGATGTCACTAATTCTGCTGCTACGTTCAGTTGTAAAGCCCTCAACTCCTCAGGAGAACAGTCATCATTTGTCATGTTCCAGACAACAGCTTCGACATAAAAAATCAGATGAAAGTATGGAGAGCCAGTGAAGCCTGACTCATAATGAAACCTGCTCAGAGCTTGGAAATACTATGGTAATGTTGGTACATATGATGGTCTGTTTTTGTTGTTGTTGTTTTTTTGGATAACGAAATCATCGGAACAATTACTTTAAAAAAGTAACATAATAACAAGTTCTATTTTTACTTTTTTTAAAATGAGCAACATTCATGGTTTACTTCTGAAATGTTGCTTTAGATGGCTATTTTTTACCCCTTTTTAGGTATCAAGATCTAGATCATCATTACCTTCATCATCAAACTTTGCTCAAAAACTAAAGTTTTTAAAAGTTCCTTGAAGGAAGATGTAAGTTTTTTTAAAATAGCAACTTTCACCCATTGCAATAAAGTTCCAAACTCTAGCCTTGCTTATAAAACACACAGAGAAACATCAACTGCTGTGACATCCAGAATGTCAACCTTCTTGCTGAGGTGTGGATGGAAAGATAAAAGGCCAAAGAACCCCTTTATCCCACAGTGCTCTATCTGCCAACAATGGGGTCTCACTTGTAGGTGTCTCTTGCTACTGAATACACTGGAGGAAAGGATACGATCTGAGAGGGCAGCTTCCCACACATTGTAATGCACAGAACAGGAAGTATGTCAAAGGGAGCAGTGCATCTCAGAAACACAACAGCAGTGAATACAGGGCACTAGCATGGTGGACAAGCAAAAGTGCTTTTGTCAGAACACTAGCCTATGGGAGGCCCATTGGTGACATTGTAATGAGTATTCAGGGGCTACAGACCCAAATGTAAATTTCCTCATCTCTTGTGCTAGCTACATGTCCCACTGGCTTTCCCTCCATTGTTGTTTTGTTGTTTAGTCGTTAAGTCATGTCCGACTCTTGATGACCCCATGGACCAGTACATGTCAAGCCCTCTTGTCTTCCACTACCTCCCAGAGTTGGGTCAAATTCATGTTCCACTGCCTCTCTCCATTACCTGCTACCAACAGAAGTTGTTAAGATCTGTGCTCACACGGATCTCTGTCCACTGCCTGCACTGGTAGAACAAATGACTCTTCTCTCAGATCTTCCTTGACCATCTAGATTAGCAGTATCTGGATGAGTCCCAAAGAATAGGCAGAAAGGTGTTCTCCCATTCAAAATACGATAGCATGGATCCAAATGGAGTTGGAACAGGCTTCAGAACATGATTATGCTGTTGACTCTAACTTTCCAATCGACAGAGTTGCAAAACCATCATTGTTGAGGCATCTACATGACACTCTTCCCAAACCATTGCAATCTCATGTTCTAAGTGTGTTTGTCTATGCATGTCTATATCTGCATTAAGAGGTTCAATACTTTAATTTTTAGAGACCGCATTCCTGAAATCTTAGCTATCACCACTGTTATACAATGTCGCTGGGGCTAAGCTGGGAACAGCACAGTTCATCTCAACAGAACAACAGGCTGAGGTTCTTCACCTGTGTTGCCAGGGAACAGGTTTTTGTTTTTGTATATGCCCTCAGAGATAAGACATTTTCCTAATAACCTATATTTTCAACATAGTGCAATACTGCAGGGAATCTACTCTTCCATAAAGGATGTTACAAATGGCAAGAGTGACAGGATTCAAAAGATACAAGGCAGAGAATCCAGACTGATTCAATCGGGTGAACCCCATACCTTGCTCTGGAGCTGTATTTCTATTTATGGAAAGTTCCACGTTTAACATACAAGACATTTTTTTTCTGTTCTGTTCTAAGCAGGGGGGAAAGGCAACCAAAGTAAGCTGGATGAATACAGTCCCAGGAAAAGAGAGGGCTTTCCACCGGGGTTCACCTGTGTGCCAAGCAGAAACAACAGGACGGAGTCTCGACAACCAGGACAGCAGTCACTACAACAAATGGGCCTCAAGGCGAAGCCAGTGGAGTCCTTGCCGAACGTAACGGACCAGATTGGTCATACTACTGTGTTGCGTCAATGGGCCCATCACCATATCCAGGTCTATGAAGAACTCTGTAAAAGAGGAGGAAAGGATCATGTTCTGTGTTTTTTTCTCTCTCCAGGATGTAGGCTCATTTGCAAAATACAACTGCTCGCTGAATTGGCTTCCTGCTTTTTCTTGAAAAAGCTCTTCATTAGCTTGCAGCATTTGAGAAAATAAGGATCATCAGCCATTCAATCTAACAACATTACTGTACTGAAATCCTCAGGCAACAACAGAAAGCAGCAGGGGAAAGAGAGAGGCACTCCGTGATCCTACATGTGGTGACGTCTGAGTAAAAATCTAGAGGGCTGTCCAAACTCTGTGTGCCTACCTATTTACCTACCCTACCTGCCAATCAAGGTTAAGACTGCTAATGGAAACTGTTCACTGCTATTACTATCCTATTTCTTAAATGTCATTATGGGTTGTATCCAGAGCTTGGAAAGATCACATTTTTGCACTGGCAGAACTAGATCTTTCCATGCAGCATAATCAGAGGCTAAGCTGCTGCTGCTGGTGGGTCTTCTGAGAGCTAGAATCCAAAAAAGACAGTGTTTCCCACTTCGAGATATTATTACATTGTTTGTACAACCCATGTACAGCCATTTTAATAAAGGGCATTTTGGGAATTCGTCCTGTACATATGTGAGTCGAGAATTACTAAAAACAATCATTTGTAATGTATTCATGGCCGGGATCTAATGGTTGTTGTGGGTTTTTCGGGCTCTTTGGCCGTGTTCTGAAGTTTGTTCTTCCTAACGTTTCGCCAGTCTCTGTGGCTGGCATCTTCAGAGGACAGCACTCTGTGCTCTTGTGCACTCCCGAGCAAACTACATCACAGCACAGAGTGCTGTCCTCTGAAGATGCCGGCCACAGAGACTGGCGAAACTAGGAAGAACAAACTTCAGAACACAGCCAAAGAGGCCGAAAAACCCACAACAACCAATCATTTGTAACTTTATTCAGGAGGTAGAGAAAAAGACAGACTTCTAATAGGAAGTGACAAAGTGACCCTAGATGACCTAAAGCAGTGGTCTCCAACCTTGGGCCTCCAGATGTTCTTGGACTTCAACTCCCAGAAATCCTGGCTAGCAGAGGTGGTGGTGAAGGCTTCTGGAAGTTGCAGTCCAAGAACATCTGGAGGCCCAAGGTTGGGGACCACTGACCTAAAGGATGCCCCCCCCTTCTACAGGCGTCACTTTGTTTGGTTTGGGAATGGGAAATGCTAGAGGATGACTAACTGCAGGGACCACACCAAGGTGCATGTGAATTACACTTGATTGGGGGCTGAAATTCAAAAAACATCTGGAAGGGCTTCAAAACAGGTGAAACCATTCAAATGGGGTCCTGAAGAGATGCTGTCCATCCTTGCTGCAAATAAAAACATCTGCCCATAGAAAGCATGGTAGCCCTGCACACATATGTAGGTTTAAAAGAGTGGTGGGAAGGTGGGACGTGATGCAAGTCTCACCTCCAGACTTTCCAACATACGAGATCTATCCATGTTGAGCACCGAACCCTACAGATAGTTTGGTAACATTTACTGGAATGTGACTTCAGAAGTCTCATGACTGGGGACTCTGATTTATCAGGATTCCTACTTCCAAGAACTCTACCACCACCTTCATGTCTGTGTGTCTCCAGTGATGGTGAGCACGTGTGGCAGTTCAGAGAGAGAGAGAGAATTTACGAGCCTGCCCAAGTCCCTTCAGTCCACCTTGAGCTCGTACAATGTCATAGAATGGTGGAGTTGGAAAAGATGACACCAGTCATTGGGTTTAGTCCCCTGCCAGGGCAGGAAACAGCAGGAGTAGAGCTATTAGTATTTTAAAATATGCAAGTGAAACAATATTTGAAACCTAATGAGGATTGAAAAGACATTAACAGGAGGAGATTGTTCCCCACCATCAACATCTTCCTCCATGTATCACTCATAAGTTCAAAATGGAGTGGGTTCCATCATAAAGGAACTTCGAGACTGGGTGTATTTGAGCAACAAAAGAAACTATATTATTATGAAAGAGAGAGAGAGAGAGAGAGAGAGATGGAAGTTGCATTTTCATCAGCTGTTTCCGCTCTGCACTTAGCTTTACGAATAAGATAGATATGTTTTGTTTTCCACTGCTTGAACACCTGAACTACTTTGACTCATTTCCAAGCAAAAACTGCAACAAATTCACAATCCACAGAACTAATCACTAGATTATCTCTGCATTTAGTCAAATAGCCTTTTGTTTGTTTTGTTAAGAATGACATTCATGCCGTGCAATCTCATGTAAAATATGTTCTTTTTTACTAGTCTACATAATTGCTCTCTCTCTTTTTTATTCTTTTTTCCCCTTTACTGCTTCAAATGAAAATTTAAGCAGTGCATAAATGATATGAAATCTGCTTTGGTTTAAAAACTTCTAGTTATCTTTTATTTTATTTTATCTGTGGTGGTGGGGCAGGATCTGTTTTTTTTTTACTCTTTATCAAATAAAACCATTAACAGATTAAGAAATATGACCTCAGTATCGTAATAATCATCACCTTCGTCATCATCACCACCACCACCATCCTCATCATCAAATTGGAGAGCTGGGAGGGAACTTTTAAATTTGTTGATTTAATTATGGGATTGCTTTTTAATGCTATTTTAAATGATGTTTTTTAACTGCTTGTAAGCTGCCCCGAGTAGGCTGTCTAGAGGGGCGGGGGAGAAATCGAATAATAAATAAATAAAATAAATAGACCCTCTGGGTCACTAAGTCCAGTTCCTGTCAATGAGGCACATTGGGGAATTGAACTCCCAACCTCTGGCTACACAGCCATATACCCATATACAGTGGTGCCTCGCTAGACAGTTACCCCGCATGACAGTTTTTTTCGCTAGATACTGACTTTTTGCAATCGTTATAGCGATTCGCAAAACAGTGATTCCTATGGGGGAATTTCGCTGGACAATTTTTGGTCCCTGCTTCGCAAACCGATTTTCGCTAGACGATGATTTTGACAGCTCCCTCCGTCCTAGCAAAACAGGTGGTTTCGGGACCTAAGCTTCGCAAGACAGCTATTTAAACAGCTGATCAGCAGTTCTCAAAGCGGCTTTCCTATGGCCGATCTTCGCTAGACAATGATGATTCTTCCCCATTGGAACGTATTAAACAGGTTCAATGCATTCCAATGGGGAAATGCTTTTCGCTATTCGCTAAACAGCGATTTCAGTGGAACAGATTGTCATCGTCTAGTGAGGCACCAGTGTACAGACACCAGTGAGCTATCCAGCAATTCATACCAATCACTTCCGGACTGCTGCACATAAGATACTGCAATACTGTATATTTTGGAAATGATCTACTGTCAATTATTTGAAAAATAAAATAAAATGCAGTAATCTGGGGGCATGAGAAATAAAGTAACTCTGTGCATTGTGTGGCAGAAAATATGTTTTCAACTGTACTGTCATCTGTTGGAGAATGAAGTCAAACCCAATAAGAGCAGTTGTGAATCTTTTGCATCTTATAACCCATCAATCACTTTCTCAAAGAACCACATTTTTGCAACACAGGCTGTGAGATACTTTTCTCTTACACACAAATGAAAAAACTATCACTTTTTTTGGATCAGCAATGGCATTTACAAGAACCTTTTTTGTGCCCCAAACTTACATTCTCTGCAAAATTATTGGTATCTTGTTGCATCTTAATCACAGGTAGAAGTGTCTAATCTGTGAATAGGTCATCTTTGGCTGCTCTTTGTTCAAGGGAAATTTGCTACCCCCTTGGGTGAAAGATAATTCCCATTGTTTCCAATGGGGTGGTCTCCAGCTTGTTTAACTACAAGCGGAATATTGCAAGACAAACGCAGAGTGCAGGGCTGTTAACACTCCACATTTGTGAACAGGATTCTGACCAAGGTTCTGAATTTTCTTCACAATGCATGATTTTTGCACGTATACTTGCTGGGTTTTCACAAAAACAGGGGCCAAAATGTGAAAAGTTCGCAAACCCTCTTCTGGCCCGCCAGGGAGAAAATATTTTACAATTTTTCATTCCCACTTTTGTGGAGGAAATCAATGAAGATATACATTCCCAGTCTACACTGATTCATTCTGGGATTTGAGGTGGGACACTTTCTGAACCTTATCTAGTGATGCCAGAGATTGTATCTTCATGGCATGTGTTCTACCATCAGTTTAAGATTTTTTTTCTTACAACAAAACTCTGGTTTTCCTTGCTCCCAACCAATGGTCATGTTACGAAGCCAATTTGTATTCAGTCAGACCATGGCCCATTTAATGTAAATACTACCTACATGGAGTGGTAGTGTACCTGTGTTATTTTTTGACAGGATTTTCTTCCTCAGATCTAACTAGACATACCAGGATTTGATCTGAAACCTTCTGTTTGCAAAACCTATGCTGTGCCCTGCATCTGGTTTTTTTTAAAGCAACATTAACTTATGCACTTGAAATTCTCTTGAAAGCATCTCCATCGTTCATGTTCTCTTCCCTTACATTCGTCAATATCAACAACGGCAATCAGATTCCTCAACAGGAGTCATGAACTCAAGGCAAATAGAAGGCCAAGACTTTTAGCTGACGCATGGCAAGCAACATCTCAATATAATTTCAATTACCATTGTAGTTTCTCCTGGCATTATCTACCTTCTTTGGAAAAGTCAACTTTGACGTTCGCCGGGGGTTGAGAAGGGCCAAAGCAAGAGATGCCACTCATAAGCTAAGAGTGGGTCTCTTTTGTTCAACCCACTCAATGTGTTTTGAAAAGCAGCCTTCACACAGAACCCCCTCAGAGCTATATTTTGTTCCCAAGATTCCCTCCAGAAACCTTGTTCATAGACTATTTTTCTTTCTTATTCCCTATTGTGACAAACTCAACATAGTACCACCCGTGGATGTATGACTTCAAGAGTGCAGAGTTTGGTCAATTACTCTGTTACAATAATTTATTTAAAATTAGGAATCAGATTTCATTTTTTTAAAGCATTACTTGACGCACATACTTACAAAAGAAGTGCAGACAGCATATGAAGAAAGGCACACTCAACTTTTGTAAGTTCAGAAGGCAGGATGCCTCCACTACTGGGGTATAGACCATGCAGCCTGAAGGTGCAGGTTGGCACAACCTGTTGGCCCTAAGGACCCTCTTTTATGGGATGCTTAAAGGGTCATCCATCTCCAATGTTTCCACAAGTGGAAATCAGTGATACGTGAATGTTGACTAGGATCTTGGCTATGGTCTTTTGAGAAGAGGAAGCAAGGGAGAAACAAAGAAGTTACCTTTGTTCTCTTTCGTCAACTTGTCCGCCATGTCCCAGTGCTCGTAACTTCGGAGGACATTGTTGGTGATGTTGACGTGGCTGGCGGCCATGTGGTGGATGCGCTGAGGAATGGTGATGGTCCCTGCAGAGGAGGATGGGGCAGATCCTGTGGTGCTCCCAAGGTTACTGATGGGCGATGGGCTCAGAGACATGGGGGACGGCGTTTCTGTGCTCCTGAGAAAGGGAAAGAGGATTAGCGTCTACATCAGGAAAAGCTTCCTTGTTGTTCCTTCAGCCACTGGCAACGTTTGCTTATGACTGTGGTGGAATGATCTTGCCAGTTTTGAGAGGGAGGCGGAGCAATTCACTGTGGCGGCGCGCTGGAATAAAGCTCGAGAACATTTATGGTTGGACTAGGAGTCCCCTAACCCAGCAGAATGTAGGGACGCCGGCCATACTGGGTGGAGATGAAAGATGCAGTCCAAAAGAGTAACATTTTAAAACTTTTATCTTGGAAAGAAATGATATCATTGGAAGCTGCCCTACAGGTAGCCTTTGGCATGCAGGGGACCCATGTACGAAAAGGTCAAACGAACCCCTAGGTAGCAACTAGTTTTAAGGGAACGCATCTCTGAAAAAAAACAACAGAACACTGAGCATCACTTTCTAATGGCAAAGCGGGTGACTTGTAGAACATGTCTCAGAATCGGACACACGAAACAAGCCATTCACATTTTTGGAGTTTTTACAACCTCAGATGCTGTCTGTGGCTTCACTGTATAGCCATTTTGCAAAAGAATGATAAGACATAAATGTGTCTCAAAGCTCTAATGATTTTCCAGCTGGCTGTTAGAAAACACTCGTTATGCATTATCGGTCTCCCGTCAAAGCATAGGGTGGAATGACAATTGGCTGCAAACCTCAGCCCACACCCATAAATGGGGCACCAGACTTGAAAGCTCCCCATGGAATGGGGCAAGGAGCACTGGGGCATGTAAAAGAGGATTATGAGGACTTCTATAGGAGTCTCTAAGAGCTGTCATCTAGACGTCTTTCTCTTTGGCACCCAATCATCTCTGCAGTATGTCTTCTGAGAAGCTATGCCTTCAGTTACCTGTTTAGTGCCACACTAATGCGCTCGTATGGATTTTTTTTAAAAAATTCAAACGCCAGCAATTAGGAAGCATTCTCTGCCCACTGCAATGGTGCATCTTTAAGGAAAGTTCAACAAATATTCATTTTTTTGGCCACATCTTAGAACTGCAGAACTGGAAGAGTTCCTACGGATCATCGAATCTGACCCCTGTCAAGGAGGCACAGTGGGGAATCGAACTCCCAGCCTCTGGCTCCATACATGATTAACGCTTTTGGATTAATCACTTGGATCTAATGTCCATGTAAAGCTGATGGAATTTTAGCCCAATCCACCATTTTCTCTCCTTTTAAATACTCTGTTTTATCTGGCACAGACATAAACTGAATTGTAAGTCCCAGCTAATGTTGACTGACTGAAGAAATGCTATTAACTTACCAAGTACCTAATTGTTGTAAGACGTCTTCTGTAGTCAGGACTAATAACTAGATTTTAGCTATGGGCCCCACTCTGCCAACAATTGTTACACTAATCATCATCATCTGCAGAGCAAGAATGGCCTCTATGGATCGAATCCAGCCCATCAAGGAGGCACAGCAGGGAATCTGATTCCCATCCTCTGGTTGTGCAGCTGGAGACCTCAACCATTCAGCGACTCAACAATTCTGAAAGAAGACAGGAGCGGCGTGTGGACTGGGCAAGAGGGTGCCCGATCCCTAAATTTCAGGGGTTGGGGTTGATCCTGTACTGGTTGCGAGCCATCTGTGGTGAAGGGCGCTGAGCATTTGGGACACAAGCCATCTCTGGTCAAAGAGCAGTGAGAATTTGGGGCTAGAAATCTTTAGCCCATCCAAGACCTGTAAGATCAGTTATGCTAAGTGACTTTTCTGGACTACAAGATCCAGAATGCCCATGTCAATAAGGGAATGGTTTGCTCATTCTTGTGCTGACAGCAGGGCTCCTCCTGTTTGGGTGAGAATACAGGCCAGTGCCTTGCAAAGGGAAACACATCAAAGGTGAGATACAAATGTATGCCTGATCAACACTACGTTGTGATTTAAGATTGGAGATGGGGCTATTTTAGCATTGATATAAAGGTCCATATAATTGGCTGGCTAAGTGCCTTCGTGTATTCACTGCTATTACGCCTCCGGTTTTATTAAACAGCACTTATCATATATCAATGAAATATTCATCGGCCTTTCATTACTGAACAAATCACTGGGGAGAGAAATCATTGCCCTGGAGATTAACTTTACTTAGGCATCCTGGAATGGCAAGGTACTACTTTCTACCCAATTAACAGCTATTTTTATTGCCCTCATTTGGCTTCAAGAACCAAACGGATGAAGAAATGGGGATCAATCAATCCGCATGAATCTCTTCTTGTTCTGCTTGTCACACTGTAACTCATGGAACATTTAACTATAATATAACAACTAATCTTCATCAGCATAAGAAATCTCCCACCTTCCCTATCCCATTTCACTGCTAATTTCCAGAAAAGAAAAGAATACGTACTTTCCATTGCCTCCCCAAGGGGATGGGGCCTGCGAAACTTTGGATGAATTCTGTAAGAAGAACCAAGATCGGGAATCAAGAGTTAGGTCTTTGTTCACTCAGCAGACAGAGACACAAAAGAAGATTTAAATTGCATTAATATTGATCGTTGCAAGACAAGAGATTTCCTGTTTCAGCAGCAAAGCAGAACTTCATATATATAGAACCATGCCAACATAATAATCTCTTCTAAACTAAAAAAGAGAGAGGGTGTGTGTGGAAATCCACACAACACCAGGTTGGATAATTAGCTGCCTCTAAGTAGGAGTATAAAAGTCCATGAAAGAAGCAATATCCTCGAACTTCGGAATAAATCAGGCACCTTTCATGAAGAAGTGGTTTAATTATCCTTATCTAAAATTCCTTCTGCAAAGGGTGCTTTTCACTTTGCAGGGGAAATTGGCAAACTTTTCATCAGGACACACACACAAAAAACCTGAGGATGATAACCTGAAAGGAAGGGAAATGATGCCTCATTGTTGAAAAGATCTGGGCATTTCTACTGTGGCAAATGATGCTTCAGCTTGGCTTTCTGGGTACATGAACCTGAGGATGATAACTTGAAAGGAAGGGAAATGATGGCTCATTGTTGAAAAGCTTCTCTGGGCATTTCTACTGCGGCAAATCATGCTTCAGCTTGGCTTTCTGGGTACATGATGCAGCAAACGTTTCTGCATATCAAGGCTGGGTGAAATACAGCTTCCAAATGTTGAACCACAACTCCCAGCATTCTGTAGCCAAAGCCAGGATGAATGGGAGTTGTAGTCCAAACATTTCTGGAAGACTGCAGCTTGCCACAGTAGATGACTTTCAAGGTTAAAGCGAGCTTCCAAAGTTTTCTTAACATCAGAATTTGGGATTATCATGTTGGCTGTCTAGGAATCCGACGAGACACTACGAATATGTTTCTTCTTCACACGGGACCCATCTAGTGTTAACAAAACATTGATTTTCTGTAGTCAGACTGGGAAGGGAACTAAAATGGTGGCTCCACATGGCATTTAATATGGCACTGCCCTCTCCCTAAAAGCCAGCCCACACTGTGCTGAAAGGTAAGACACTCTTGAAGATGTTTGTTCAGAAAAAGTCTTATTCTTCTATCATCACAGAGCAGTTCACAGCCCAGAGATTGAAGCCCTTTTAGAAGGAAGGAACAGGAATGAAACTGCTAAACATCTTTGTGTGTGAAGCATGACTTACATCTTAAAAAACATGGATAAAACAGTTTGCTGTGGGCCATCAAGTTGGTTTCAACCCATGGCAACCTTTGTACGGATTTCATTGTATGTGAAACGTGTGAGTAGTGGTTTATCATTGTCATCATTCAATGAGTTTCCATGGCTGAGGAGAGTCTTAAATTCAGGTCTCCTCAGTCCTGATCTGAGTCTCAAGTGAAATAGTACATGGTGGGAAATTCTGGAATGTTAAACCAGTAATGGCCCATTCGAATCTATAGGTTAGCACAATGTGGAACAGTTATTTCCTGGATTACAGATTTCAAGAACGGTGCAACTTTATTATTATTATTATTATTATTATTATTATTATTATTATTATTATTATTATTATTATTATTATTATTATTATTATTATTATTATTATTATTGTTGTTGTTGTTGTTGTTGTTGTTGTTGTT